AGGCAAGCGTGATCTATTAAACCGTTGGCCGTGTACGAAAGAACGGCACCAGCCGCCGTGAGAACGGGGCTAACAAAACACACGTTGAATGCGTCCACAAAGAAAGTGGCATACGTAAGTAGCAAAAGGAAAATGGAACCAAGCTGATTCGCACCAACTGATAACCGGGACGCGAAGTTGCCCCAGTGATCTCGCCTAGTGTTGTTGACGTAGGCGGTTGACGTGCCCTGCTCAGAGGAATGAGAGGACTGGTGCGGAATAGGAGGGACGTCAGCGGTGGATTCCCCCCCCCCAGCTCGGAGCCGGAAGGAGAGGTGCTGGGAATGGCCATGCTGACGCACGCAACTCCCACAAGTGAACCATGCTGAGAAGGCTTGTGCTTCACAAGCTTGCGCATGGGAATCGTTACCTTATAATTAGGGTACTGCAAAAAGTTAGGATGAAAGTGCAGCCTAGGCTCTGGATATGATTCCAGAGCGTCCCCTAAGAATTTCGCCTGTTCGTTACCCACTAGGAGCTGAAACAGGTCGGGTCGCTCGTCAACGACCAGGGTTTTAGTAAGCGGGACCCGCGTGGCATGCGGCGTGCCCGGAAGAAGCTCAAAAAAGATGTTTGAGGTGTCCAACTCTCCTCTCACAGCACCCCCTAGCTGCAACGAGGTGGACAGCCACGTGGTTGTCTCGACTATGGGCAGGTTAAGTGCTTTGGCTACACTGGTCGGCATTACGTTGACCGTTGCGGCAAAATCACACAACGCCTCCGGAGCTGCCCTGTCGCGCTGCCCCTGAACCAACACACACGCCCCTGTTTCGTAGTAATACAGACCCTCGGGTTCCCCCATGTAACGCGCCGCCGACGGATTAACCGCTAAAGCCTGCTCCCGCTCGTCAGGCGAGAGCTCCAACAAAGTGCGCGGAGGCGGACCCTTAACCCCACTTACCTGGTACTCGAAACCGGCACCACGGTGGTCGGAGGGTTTGGCGCGCCCTTGGGCCGCCAGGGCAAAAGACGCCAGGCCAGAATCAAGGGGAGGTGGCGTGACCAGCTCCGGTGCTGCCGCCGGGAAACAGGCGAGCTGCACACTCTTGTCGGCCTGAAGCGTGGAAAATCCCTCCCCGAAGCTGCTCGAAACTGAGCTGGAACCCTGCGTTGCTTGGGCCGTGCTTGGGGGATGGGGTTTGGCGTCTAAGGGGCCGCCGGTGGAAGACAGCCCCTGCTGGCAGAGCAGGTTAAGAAAAGTGCCGACAGGCATGTCGGAGATTTTACGCAGGAGAATATTGTCATCCAGCAGTGTATGAGTGCGTTTTGAGTTGTTCGCCACGGGTGGTGTCGGTGGCGGGTACTGCTTCATGACTAAAGGGGCAGGAGTAAAGGACTTAGGAACAGCCTGCGAATGCATAGTGGCTAAGCTGTTGTACCTTACCTCTTGTGCGCTGCGCGTCCATGTGAGCGGCGCCATCCTGGCCTGCTGGCTGGGAGAGACGTTCGACGCCGCTTCATGGAACTGCGTCGTGCAGCAGGCCGCCTCCTCATCCCCCTCGTCCTCTGCTGCAAAGTCGTCCTCGAAAGCTGCGGCAACAGCCGCCGCCAAGGCCGCCTTCTTTTCAACCGCCTTCTTGCGCTGCAGAAATAAAACCTTCAGGGCTGGGTTAGCGGGCTCGTAGCCCGCAGGAGCGAGCTCGGGGTGGAAAATGAAGCATTTGCTCTGCTGGTGACCCATGGTTCCGCAGAACTCGCAAGATGGCCTATTCCCCCGCGATTCGCTAGCACCCTGTCCCTGCTTGGGCTTAGATGGCCCAGCCCCCTTCTGCTTTTGCCCGCCCATTCCTCTGGACCCCCCTGAGGTCGACGCGCTGCCCTGTCCCTGGGAAATCAAGGCAACCAAACGCTCAACAATACCGGAGGGGATGTCAGAGGTCAAAAGCGCGGACTTCGTCTTTGGGGGATTTAAGACACGGCACTGCGCCGTATCGTGAGATGCATTAGTGCCGTGCTTCTCGCAGTAGAAGGTGCGTTTTTCCTTAACAGGGGGTTTTGCTGCACTCTTCTGCTGCGGCGGCTTTTTGCGTACCTGCACTGCTCTGTCCTCCAACGGAAGGTTGTTCCACACAACCTCAGCCTCTTGTGCCGTCTTCTCCAAACGATCGTACCACTTGGTACGCTCCACGGTAATGAGGTGCCTCTCCAGGTGATGCCGAACCATGGGGTTTGAACCCTCTAGAAAACGTTCCGCGACCTGGTGCTTGCTGACCCTACCGTCCAGCTTTTTCTCCAGCGCTAGCAGCATATCCTTGAAGACTATGGGAGAGAGAGCTCCCTGCTGCATGCTTCTGAAGCGCGCAAGATCACTTTCCGCGCGCGCGGAGGCAAAGTTTTCCTCTAAAATGTGGGCGTAATAGTCGTACAGTTGGCGAGGAGAGATGGCGTTGGCCGCCGCACCTGGTTCAGCTACTCTGAAGTGCGCTGCAGCTTTGGCTATGAGGTCCTGTCTGTGGGAGTTGTACCACGCCTCGAAGGGCGTGTTACGACCAGGCAGTGCGTCAAGGTACGATTTGAGGCTCTCAACAGACAAGTTGTTCCTAGTGAGCGGGTAGGCAACTCCTTGCTGGAACACCTTGGTGAGGAAGTCATCCAACCCGTTGTGCTGGAACGGGTCGAGGGTAGGGTAAAGGTTCTGCATGATTTCGTCGTCAGAATCGCTGTCCCTAGCAAATATAGGGTTGATGTAGGTGCGGGGCCTACCTAGCGCTTCAAAGAGACGCGACCACTTCTCCCTATCGGAATCTGTTCCGGTAGTTTCTAGTGGAGCAGTAACCTCACCCTCAGTTGGAGCTAACTTAGTCAGGGGAAGTTCCACCTGTACTGCTAGGCCACTATCGGAACGCGAGCGCGGAATACGGGCGGCTTCGCTAGTACTAGACCCTGAGGTGGACACCCTACGTGTATCCTTACGCGAAACCTTGCTTACCTCCTGCTGATCTCGCTGACTCGTCGAGCGAAGATGTTGCGCAGTGGCGGCCCGCGGGATGTTGCGACGTAGCGGCTCCGTGGGACTTATGCTTCCCTGTGTAATAATTAGCTTACGAAAAACAAGATGAGAAAAAGGAAAAGAGAAAGATGCAGCAACAAACGCGAAGCGAACAGGCAAGGACTAAGCAATAAAAAGCCTAGCGACTACTAAAGAGTACTAAACCCGCCCCACCTAAGCTGGTGTCGCTGTAAAGTTGCGTTGTATTGTGCTGAAAAATAAAGAGTAGCTGCGTGAACGCAGCTGGAATAATCAGTGACTCTGGAAAGTGATGTTATGAGTACGTGGTGCTTGAACAACTGCTCTATGGCTGCCGCGTCAGAAAAGAGGAGAAAATCGACTCAATGAGGTTACAGTGATCACTCCATCATGTCACTGCGTGGAGACGCGCACAGGTCCGCGTATTCAAATAAAGGTAGTCGAATGTTCGCCCCCTGGGAGCTGGCCGTAACAAAGCTCGTCGGCCGCGGTAGCTGCTCAAGCTCGGGGTCCAGCTGCACTACTACCAGGTATCGTATACGAAAAATGGCTGGGCGTGGCTCCAGGTCAAAACGCACGCCTCTCGCCAATAGGCCTATGTCGACAGGCTCCGCCTCCTGGTCGAACGGATCGACCAAATGTGGATGATTAGGCTGATTAAACCGCCTGCGGAGGCCCTGCTGGCCCCGACCACCTTGATGATGAAAACCTCGGTGGCGCACACCGAGAGGGTTACGACCCGCGCGTCCTCTTAATGGCCTTCGGTAATCTTCCTCGTAACGGTCCACTGCAGAAGCGGATTGAGGCTAGTAAAAGCAAACGAATTGGTATGACTCCGTAGAATTCGGCCAGAGGTACGCGAAATGCTCGTTAAGCACAGAAGAGCTCGAGCCTGCTGTTCAGGTGAGCTGAATATATAGTATAGGAAAAATGTTAGGCTGGGCTGACCAAGCCTAGATGGTAAAACGAGTAGATCGTATAAAGTATTCGGGATCGAGTGTTCGACAGACGGCTGTGCGTAACACAGTATCGATTGTAAAAGTGACCGAATACACAAGCAAATCGACCCAGTAGAAAATGGCCCGAAATTGCTGAATGGTAGGGCGGCTGTGCGTAACACAGTATCGATTGTAAAAGTGACCGAATAGTGACCGAAGTGACCGGCTGTGCGTAACACTGCTGACCGGCTGCGGCTGGCGTGACCTAGCCTGCCTAACCTACCAAAAAGGGTGCTGGGAAAAGCAACCCGAATATCCCCTAGGCGACAGAACACCTAAGGTAAACCCCAAAACCGAACTTACTTGGTCTTCTAGCCTGATTTAGGCTTTACGGCTATGGAAGGCAGGGTGGCTTGGCGAAGTCCTGCAGGTAGCTTGGATGCTGACTAGACGGCACACGAACGGGCAAGTCGTAATACACAGCAAATAGCAACCCGCGAAAGGGGCCAAGATTCCCTCCAGGCAATCAATCAACAGCGATAATGATTTACCTTACCGACTGAGTTTGCCCGGCGTGAAGGATATGGGCGTTGAATGGCCCACACAGGAGTTCGGCTGGTGGAAAGAAGTTACTTATGCGGCTTACGAGAAGGGAGGACCGCACAGGGCTTGTTGTCTAGCTCAGAGAACTTTACAATGTTCCAATCATGAGCCGTAAAGCGACTTTTCCAAGCTCGCTGCCGGCTATAAATACCGAAGTCACGATGTCGATCACAGGAGGCCCTCAAAAGATAAGCCTCGAGTACGACCACGACGTATAGTCCACATATGACAAAAGTGAAACACCTTATAACCCGTGTGACAGAACATTCACACAAGAAATAAACAATTCACAAGTAAAGTACATAAACATACGCGAACGAGCGTACATTCTCGTCTCGTCCATAAGTCCATCAGCGAAGTGTAAGACAAGAACCAAACACCTTACGCGATTATACACGAAATTCGCGTATTCGCACCGATTATAACCTAAGACGATTAGAAAAGACGGTAAAATGAACGTGACGCTAAAATGTCGTGACAAGGTGAGGCGGGCTGACGCTGGGGCTGACCTTGGCTTTGTTGGCTCTGGGCTTGGCTCTGTGGCTGAGTTGCGCCGCTTCCGCCTTCGAAGGACCTCACCACTTCTTTTGCACGCAAGTAGTCATGCATGCTTGGCACCGGCGCCGCCAGCAGCGCCTTGGGCAAAAGGCTGAACCTGCTGCGCTCATGCAGGACTGTGATGTGCATCGTTATGAGCGATGCGGCCATGCAGAGCGAGAGCAGGACATCGCGGATGGCAACGAACAGCATGCAGAACAGAATGGCGCACTTGGCCGCTGGGCTGGACAGCAGGCGCTCCTGTGCCTTGGTGATGTCGGTCACAACGTAGCGGGACCCCAAGTTGAGCATCAGCATGCTGACCCCGGCAAAGAGTTTGCTGGTGTTCAGCTGCACAAGCAGGTCATACATGACCGCGGACGGCTAGGCGATTTGATTGGTAGACACGTTTTTTCCTTACATTGGGCTAGAAAATGCCGCCAATGCCGCCCGCGCACAATATCACATCACTGAGCAGGCTGGGTGGCTCCGATCAGCATGTCCACCTCGGCGCAAGCCATGGTGACGCAGCCTGCCATCAGCAGCCCGGCTGTCAAGTCCAGGTGGGCAGCCGCGGTGCTCACGGTGAAAGCTAGGAAGCACCCGAGGCGCTCAGACAGGATGCTGACCACGCACGTGGGATGCGGGTGGGTCATGCGCACACACACTGCGACCAGGTAAGTGACGAGGGCGGCGTAGACAGCTGCGCACGCCGAGCGCTCTGCGACGCTCCACAACATGCGGAGGAGAGGTTAGGGAGCAGACAGGGAGCAGACAGTTTCTGGACCCGGATATACGTCTTGTGAACGTTTTCTGGGACTTGCGTGCGCCCGCGCCGGTGCCCCGCCTACCACCACGTATGCTGATGGAATACAATTCTGTCAGCACTATTGTAAACTTGAGCAAGGACCAGGACCAGCACTGCGACTGAGTCACAATACCCATGGTGGAGTTCACGATGCTTTCAGACGCGTGGGGTGTGGACAGCTTCCGGCCGCCACGGCGGCGCCGCGCGGGGGCCGTGGGCAACGGCGACACGCGTAGCAGTATGGCAGCGGCCGCCCTGAACATCGCCGGGCTGGGCAGCTGCGCGCCCATGGGCTCCGAGCTGCTGGGCCCGGACACATACGGGCCCTACCCCGACAGGTTCATGTATGTGCGAGGCCACCCTCGGGGCCGGGAGGGCGACAGCGTGTGCAATGTGGTGGTCGGCCAGGAGTCACACTACGATGCGTCACTGGCACCCTTGGCGGCTACCCAGGCGCAGGTGGCAGGCCTCAGCAGCGGCGACCCGGCAACCTGATGCGTCACTGGCACCCTTGGCGGCTACCCAGGTGCAGGTGGCAGGCCTCAGCAGCAGCGACCCGGCAACCCTGCATCCCGATGGCGCATTCATGGAGTATGACGACTTTTACGGCTGGGACCACCAGTACACATCTGTTCTGGACGGCACTCGGGCAGGGCATGCAGGTGGCGGCCCTGGCGCCAGGTGGGGCTCACCGTGCATGACTACGAGCGAGCAGCTCACCGTGAATACTCGGGAGATGGATCAGGAGGGTGAGGCGCAGCAGGATGCGCAGCAGGCGGCAAAGGTGCTGAGCCCCCCCAGCAGTGTGGCCGAGGGCTACATCAACAGCACGGGCGCCAACGCCTCGCACATGAAGCACGTATGCGACCTGCTGCTGTACGTGCTCTCGGGCATTTTCCTCATCCTGATCATGGAGCAGTTCCTGTGGCTCGGCATGCGGATGAACAGGTAAGAGGGCTCCATGGCGACACAGGCGTGAATTTATGTGCAGGTTCATTATCCGCCGTACACCATTATCCAAGAGTGGATGGCCACCATCCAAGAGTTCCGCTCGTGCATGCAGAAGCGCACCAGCCGCGTGCAATCCTGCTTTGACGCCATCCTGGGTCGGTGCCGCAAGCGCATGCAGGCAGCAGTCAAAACTGGTGTGCTGTACATCGTGTTCGACGTCCCCGAATTCATGATTGGCCACCCCCCCTACAACATCTGCCAGTGCATCACTTACCTCATGGCCCAGCTGACAAAGGCAGGCTTCACCGTGCGCTACCTCTTCCCCCGGGCGCTCATCATTTGCTGGGGTGCTGCGGCTCCACCCCCACCCGTGCTGCCGCTGCCACCACCGCCCGTGCGGCTGCTTGAAGCAGCAGCACAGCATCGTCCACCACCTGCCGAGAACGGTGCTGGAGCCGCTGGACCCCTTGCGCCGCGGGCAGTGCTTGACAAGAAGCCAGGCGGCAAGCTGACCTTGGACATATGACATAGGGCTCTGAGGTAGGCTAGCCAAGTTTTTTTTTTTGGGGGGGTGTCCCAACTTTGAGAGAGCCGCCTAGAGGTATGGCACAGAGCGTTTTCTATTCTCATCATAAACCAAGGTGTACAAGAAGCTCTGCTGAGCTCTGCTGATTGCGGGGTAGAAGCAGCTATGTCCACGCCAGATGAAGGTCGTGGCGGCAGGCAGCACTACATTGCAAACGGTTCGTATGGCTGCGTGATGCACCCGCACGTCCCATGCAGTGACGGCTCCAGGACCAGCGCCGGAGTGCCCCTGGTCTCCAAGATATTCGGCAGCTCGCATCATGCAAAGGAGGAGTACGATATACACAACACCATGGCTGCCAAGGCTGACCGGCATGGCAGATTTACGGTTCGGCTAGCGCAGATGTGCCCCATGGCAACTGACAGCGTGCCGCCAGAGGAACTGGGCAAATGTGGCCAGGACCTGACGAACAGCTTCCAGGGGCAATCCATGCTCACCCAGTTGGTTTACGAGGACGGAGGCATTGCTCTGAATGAGTGCGCGTCCAAGGGTGTGCCGCTTGCAGACGTGGTGCGGGGACTGCGAACCGTGCTCATGGGGATTGGGAGGCTGGCGGCCCAACAGCTTGTCCACCTAGACATCAAGCCACGCAACATGGTGTACAACAAGGACGGCAGGGTGCTGCTCATCGACTTTGGCCTGATGACCGCCTTCGGGGATGTGTATGGCAACAGGAACCACAGCATCTTGAAAACCCAGTACGAGTACTACCCTCCAGAGTTCGAACTGTACTCGCAGTGGATCGGTGGTGCGGCCCCTCAATCTGCTGACCTGAACTTTGGGTTGCACATGCAGACGTTTCAGAGACTGAGCCAACGTGCCTTTGAAGAGCACACCACGCCTGCCACCCGACGCAACATCGGCAGGTACCTCAACAATGAAGAGTGCGCCGCGCAGGCATACACGCTGAGCAACACGTTGACGGTGTCCGGCGGCTTGAATACCGACTACCTGAACCAAAACCTAGGCCAGATCTACGTGTATTCCTTTGGCATCTCCATGGCCGAGCTGGTTGTTTCGTACATGCGGAAGGAGGCATTGCGACCTGATGAAGCGGACCTAGCCACGGCCATCATGGCGCTAGCCCGCAAGATGATGCACTTTGTACCCCATAAGCGCCCTACTGCTGTCACGAGCCTGAAACTGTATGACGCTACGATCAAGCCGCTGCTTCCCAAGCGCCGCAGCACGGTGCAGGCGACAGCCGCCAGCCGGGACAGACATGCTAGACGCGCTCCTCACAACACTGCCAAGCCCAAGCCAAAGCTGGGGAGCAAGTCGTGCGACATTGTTGACTGCACCATAGTCATCCTGCACAGCAAGGGCATCCGCCGGGTGGTCAGCATTGTGTCGGGTCGCCAGATCACTGTTGGCGGTGCTGTGTTCAGGAGCGTCTGCGAACAGTTCGGCACGGACTGGTTGGTGCAGTATCTAGTTGCAGCGGGTGTTGCGAAGAAGTGAGGCTGTGCGGGTTGTGTGGGGGCTGTGTGGGCCCGCGTGGCAGAGCGTGGATAAAAGGGCAATGCGCAAATTTTCTGGGGTGTTACTATATCTTGCTCCCTGGCATCTCGTCCAACGGCCCTTCATAACACACACGTGCGCATGGTCAAGGCGCCCCATCCCCCGTCCACCCCGTGTATGGGCAACGTGCCTGCCGCAAGCAGCGGAGTGAAGCTGACAATGGATGACGCGATCACCTACTTGCTGATCTTCAGCCTGGTCGTGCTGCTGTGCTACACACTGTTCTACCTGTACAACATCTACTATGGCCCATCCGCATGCCCCGTGAGCAAGACCGCGGGTGAAGCCTTTGCGCAGCAGGGGCCCAAGCGTGCAGTGATGGCGGGCTCCAGCCGCTGCGGCTGGACGGTGAAACAGATCCCCGAATGGGAGGCGCTGGTGGCCTCCAAGGCCAGCGCGGGCCGTGTGGAGCCCGCCCCTGCCATCTGCTTCATGGACCAGGATGATGCATGTGCATCTCTCGCATCCGCACACGGAGTGGCGAGCTATCCAACGCTGCTGGTCCTCAACCAAGACGGCTCTCTGGTGCTCAAGAGCCCGGGCTACAAGGACCGCGTGGCACTGGTGCAGCTGCTGTCGGGCATGTAGGCGCCAACGCACCCGGCAGGCGGGACAAACAAATCCGCATAAGGAATCCACCTTCGCATTACTGATACCGATCACCCCAGCCCTGCCCAAAACAGACCCCCCTCGACGCCACAAGCGCTGCTGCCATTGTCCGCCTCGCTGCACCTGGAGCCATGGCTTCAGCATACAAGGAAGCGAGAGTGCAGGGTGACTGCCGCCTGGATGCTGCGGTGGCTGCAAGGCTTGACGAGATCATCGCGAGCCACAGGTGCTTCCAAGAGGAGCCATTTGATGCTCTGCACAGCGCGCCGCCTGCGTCGCACGGTCCGAGGCATCACGGCTGGGGAAGGCGTAGCGGCCGCGGGGGGCGTGGGTACGCTCGCGCTCCGGGCCGCAGCGGCGGCTTTGCTGCTGGAGGAACGCTAGCGGTTGGCACGGTAGGATAGCACCCAGCGGGCGGAGCAGCAGCCCCTGCAAGGCGACAGGCTGCGTCTAGAGCTCATATCCCTCACCAACAAGGCAAACGGCTCGAACAGGGCAGTCATCTGGGACAAACTCCACCGCTGCATGGCGGCCAGCATGGCTGCCAACGTTGCTAGCATGCTGCTGGCATGCTGCACCAGGCAGCACAGCTACACCAAGGTGTACCTCTCCCTCCTGGCTGACGTGTTCTCCATGAAGGGTGAGGGCGTCGCGGCCTGTGTGCACGTTTTTGTGGATGCGTTCTTCGGCATGGCTGCCGACACAGTGCTGCTGGACCGTGTGGGGCACGAGCACGACGTGCAGAGGGAGTACGACACCTTCTGCACGGCGGTGAAGGAAAAAGCAGCGCTCATGGCGTGATGCAGGGTGTCCATGCAGCTCCTGAGCGGACCCCTTGGAGCGGCTGCATATGAAGGTGGTGCGCCTGGCGAAGACCACATGAGCCAGTTACAGGCCTTCTTGGCCAAGGGCCTGGACGCTGCAAGCTGTCCCGATCGTCCTGTTGGCGTGCGGAGCCTGGTGGTCGAGCTGCTGCTGGAGGCCATGCCTTGCTTGCATCTTGCCTGCACCGTGGACCTCAAGGCGAGTCTGACCACCACTGCACCCCAGCTGATGCCCATTGTCAGCATGAAGATGCGGTTCAAGCTGCAGGACCTGCTGCGTGGTGTGGCTGACCCCGTGCCGCCTCCCCATACCAGTGGTGGCCAAGATCTCAGGCGGCAGGTCGCGCCACCGGCCTGGCGGCCCTCTGAGCCTGATGGGGCCAGCAGGTGGCAGCATGACAGGGGGCGGCATCGCCCCTCCGGGCACTGTAGGCCCCCTCGCTTGCGTGGCGGTCGCCACTACACCCTAGGTTATGCTGAAAATGGAAACCCGACCTGACCAACCCGACCTAGGTGCATCAGTGTATCAGGCTGGCAGGGGGCTCGAAAAGTAGGATCTCAGCGTGTTCTCCCGCTCTTGCGGGGGCATTGCCTCGGCCCTATCAGCCAGCTCGAGCAAGCGGCGGTACGCAGGCATGTCTCGGCGGCGCAGGTCGTCCAGGTACCTGCGGTGCCGCCTCTCCACGACCAGGCCACGCGTGTCCTTGTCGCCACTCACATAGGATCCCCCCATCACATCGGCGTACTCTTGCAGCTTGCCAGCGATTTTCTGTGTCGCGTCCATGGAGGCAGCATACATGGTCCGCGGGATTGCATTGATTGTCCTGATAACCGCTTCCAGCAGGGGGCTCGCTGCATCAGCGCCCATGCCAGGCTGGTGGGTGTTATGCCGTGGACCTGCTTCAACAGCACATATTGTTCGGGGCACACATCACGCGTTTTGTAGGGAATGGAAGCCGCCTTTTGCCTTTGTCTTTGGAAAAGGACAACGTGATTTTTTTCCTTTTTTCATGTGCCCAGAAGGCCTTCTTCACCATGCTGTGCGGACGCTGTACGGCTACTCTTCCGATACATGAAAACAAAAAATGTTGCCTAGGGCCCTGAACATCGCAACCTCCGCCGTTTGGAGTCCGTTTCCAGTTCTAGACTTTTGCAGCAACCAGCTGCGGGTCCACGCCCTGCATGAAGGCTCCCAGGACAATACTCATGTAAGCAAAGCTTGACTTGATGATGACTGCGTTGGCCATTGCTGTGCACGCCTCTCCGCGAGCGCAAGCCTCAATGCGCATCTGCAACATGTTATTGCGGCCAGGCGGCATTGTTGCAAAGCCGCGAGTCCTGGGATCGACCCTCTGCAGGGGCATCAGTGTCTTGAACATCTGAAGCGTGGGGGGAGTCAGCACGGACTCGCAGTGGCGTAGCACGGCCTGCAGAGCCGCCAGCAGGCCTCCCACCACCCCGTCCAACACCTGCGCAAGCTGGGCCGGGACACCAGGCGCCGGGCGCCGCTCCCATCATTCTGGGGCCCGTTGCGCATGGGGATGAATGTTCAGCTTCTGGAGCGGCAGCCCAGCGCCAGGGCCCTGCCATCCACGGTACACCCACCCTATGTAAAACGCCAGCTTGAGAATCTGCCGCAGGAGCAAAATGTCCCGGTCGCCAAGGGCTGGCAGCATGTTGCGCAGCACATGGCACGGGTTGAGGCACCTGGTCTGAAGCGTGTTGTGCAGGTCGGCGCTGATGTCACCGCGCCCGCTCAGCACACACAGCGAGGCGATAGGAACCTGGATATGGTGGTTGATGCTCACGGTGGAGCTGTTGCGGAGCTGCTGCACCATGCTGTCCTCCAGGATCCAGGCGTACCTGTTGCAGTCATCGTACGGCCCCATGAACCAGACATCGTTCACGTCCACGTCCTCAAACTCCAGCATGGTAATATCCTCGCGGTTGATCAGCGGGGGTGCAGTGCCGGTCAGCAGCCGCACCTTGTGCCAGCACTTCAGCGGGAAGGCCACATCCGGCGGCAGCATGCTCCACTGCGGCACCACCAGCAGTGCACCGCGGCCCACGTTGCACTCTGCATCGTTCAGGTGGAAAGCAGGGGGCAGCGCCCGCATACCACTCCCTTGCCTCAGGCCACCCTGGCGCATCTGGTTTGGAAGGCGGCACACCGCCCGCATGCAGCACGTACTGTGCACCGTGTACAACATCGGCAATGTACAGGTGGCGGGCCAGGTGCGCAGGGTCCCTGTCGGCGTTGGCGGTGCACCTGGGCGCGGCACGGTCGAGGTATCCCAGCACTCCGACGCGGTTACGGGTGCCGGGGCTGACAGGCTGCATGTAGTGTGGGATGTACGAGTCACCCATGGGCCAGGCCGCTGTGTTGCCAGCCGTCACGAGCAGCACGTAGTGCCCCAGGGCCTGGCCATGCGACCCTGCCACGGTATGGTACATGACTTGGTAATGGGAAACCTGGCGGCTGCGGGAGTGCCGATGGTGTCACGGATGCCCGTTGTGTGCGCAGCATGTGTCACCCTTACAAACACTGTGCCCTCCAGGTCATCCGCCATAGCACCACCGACGGCCGTGTACAGATGGACCTTCAGGCCCAGGAGAAGGCCCAGCAGCATGGCCATGCCCGCTGGGATGTAGCCCACGTCCTGGCGCCCACCGCTTGCAGCCACTGTCAGGGCCGCCCTGTACTCATCAGCCGCCGGGCCAAGTATCTCGGCTGACACTGGAACGTTGGTCAGCACATCCTGCGCCGGTTGGCCGTTCCTAACCTGCGCCACGTAGTCGTCGATCCTCACGAGTTCTGTTATCAGTGCCTGATTGTTGTACATGTTCCACATCGACTGGGTGCAGATGCTTCACAGGCGCATGGCAACCGCTTCATCATGTGCCGTGAGGACGTCTGCATACTCGGCACCGAGCGTGATGCCCAGGCAGTGGAAGAGGCAGTGGCTGTCACCTGACGTCTGCAGCGTCAGGACGTGCTCCAACGTGTTGGTGACGACCTTTGGGTGCGGCATGGAGTACATCCTAGGTGTGGCATGATGCACCGTGATGCCCTCACGGGCACACACCAGCGCTTCCACGCTGCCCGCCTGCTTGATGTGCTGCATCGGCTGGTGTGCGCGCTTGTTGGGAGACGGCGGAGGTGCGTCGGCTGAGCCTTCGGGGGAGGAACGCGGCAACCTAGCAGTGTTGCGCAGCGGAGTTTGCTCCTGCTCCTTGTGCCTCTGCTCCCGCTCCTTCTGCTGCTGCTCCCGCTCCTTCTGCCTCTGCTCCCGCTCCTTCTGCCTCTGCTCCCGCAACTTCTGCTGCTCCTTCTCATTGTCCGTCTGCTTCTTCTGCTGCTCCTTCTCCCGCGGCCATGGCCGTGGTCGAGGCACGGCAGCGGCATCAGAGCGAGGCTTGCGTGGGGCAGCTTTACGGACGTGGCCCTGCTGCCTGGAGCGCGTGAAGACGCAGATTTGCTGCCTTACATGTTCTTGTTGGGCTCGCATTGCATTGCTACCCCAGTGCATGACACGCGGTTGGCAGATAAGTGGCTCTCACCGGCTCATCACTGGATCACGGTACTTGGCACCCATGTCACGGATTCCGCCGTCACGTGCGCCCTTGTGAGAAGCCAAAAATTCAATCCAGGGATTGGCCTGTGTGCACCTACCGTCACTGCGGCGGAAGCACTTTGTCCTATGCTCTCTGTCGACCGGACACGGCTGCATTCGGATGGTTGCTGACGTCACGACCTCAGCAGGGCGAGGTGCTTACATTACAGTCTACCCATATTTTACGCGATTCACGTACACGGTGGCGGGGGTATATTTGCGTATGTTGTTGGTTTTACTGCTGGGCAAGCGCTGCCCCGCCCGCTGGTTGGCTACCGAGCAGCCGCGTGTACAAATCGGGAGCCACACGATGGAGCGTGGCGAGCAAGGCGTCTAGGCGCTTGTACTCCAGCTTCATCTTTCCAAAGAGCTTCGGGTCCAGGGTGTACACGTCCTCCACCGTCTGGTTGCCCACCGGGTCTACCAGGGCCGTGCGGACCACTCTGCCCACGTACGGGTCCTTGGCCTCTTCATAATCTGCCTCTGCAACTGCCTGTAGCTCGTCACTGGAGTTGCTCGTCTTGCCAGTAGCATTGCGGATGAGGTTGTCAATGGGCGCCACGATCAGCGTGCGAGCGTCACTTGGCAGTGCCAGCAGCTTTGCGAATGCTTCAGTGTCGAGGGTGTTCTGCTCCGAGAACTGGTCAGCCATGTCAGCCGTGTCATGGCCCAGGTGTGCTGCCCACACCAGCAGCGACAGCAGGATGCACACCACCAGCTCAAAGTCAATGTTGCTGAGGGACTGCCGCGTCCATGCAACATGCCGCAGGAACACTAGCGCCGTCGCCAGGGTAGCCAGCGCCACCAGAGCCGCTGCAGACTGGCGGTGCATGGATGATGTGGTGTGCGCTCACAGGACCTTCTGATTCTGCCCGTGCAAAATTGAGCCGTGACTTTGAGCGCTGCGCAAATGCAAATGGGCGGCCGGCTGTCTACAACAATATTGTCCCCCCGTTGTAAGGCTGCCCCGAAAGGACAAGCAGGTCTACACACCACCCTACACACCCCAGATTGCCTACGATGCCACACAGAGAGCGGTTTCTATTCTCAATATAGTCTAGGGGCGAAGGAATCTCACGATGGTCCTGACTGTGTTCTACGACATTGATGGCACGATAGTGGGCAACGTCCTGCCCCAGGTTGTTGAGTGGCACTTGGTGCAGCGCTACCAGCCGTCACGCAAGCCCATGTTCAAGGCCAGCCTCGTGGATGTGCTGCAGCACCACCTGGTGCGCCCCCGCTTCGCCGACTTTCACAACGGCCTGTCTGCCGCCCTGCCCCACGTCGAGTTCTTCGTGTACACGGCGTCGGACCATGTGTGGGCGCACGTGCTGGTGCCGTGCATCGAGAAGGCACTGGGGATCAAGTTCAACCGACCCATCTTCACACGCCAGCACCTCGTGGACGACGGGGCGGGCGACCGGCACAAGTCCATCGTGCACGTTGCCCCCATGGCACACCGAGCCCTCGCAAAGAAGGGCTACCAGGTCAGAGCCGCGGACATGCTGCAGGACACCGTCCTTATCGACAACAACAACCTGCTAGTTGCCGCGGAATACGGGCACACGCTGCACTGCCCAACATACAACTACGTGCTGTACCAGGACGTGTTGCGGCACGTGCCGCTGAGTGCACTGAGGGAGAACATGCTGGCCATCCAGGAGGAGCTTAGGGTGTGCGGCCTGTTCCCCCCGGTGCACAAGCAGATGTCGGAGGAGGCCTTTACCGCCCATTACTACGCCGTGCTGCACCAGGCCGTGACGTCTGCAGCCCGTGATTGCCGCGATGGCTGGAAGGACGTGTTCTGGTCCATGCTGTTGCGCTGCGCAGTGTCTGTCGCATCAAAGCGTGGATTTAAGGGCAATGCAGTAGAGGTTATCAACCAAAAGCTGCAAAAGCAGCTGCAGCGCCATGCCTCGGAGCAGAAGCATTCAGGTAAAAGGAGAGCCGGAGATGAGTGAAGGCGCGGCCCAGCAGCCCCGCACCGTGCTTGTGTTTGATGTTGGCATCCGTAACCTCGCGTACTGTCTCCTGCGAGTCCAGCCTGGCTTCATGGCTGAGAAAAGGGCCGCAAAGTCGCGCAAGCCGAGCCCTAAGGGCCGGGATATCAGTTGTGTTGGAGAGGAGACATCTACGGTGGAGCAGCAGCAGCGGCCCGTCGAGGTGTTGGACTGGGGCTTGATCCGGCTGGTGGAGGACGGCTGCAAGGCGGTGAAGATCGACCTCGATGAGATATGCGCGTCGTTGTTCAAGGATCTGGCGCAGCGGATGAGCAGCGGCGGCGTGTGGTGGAGCGCCACGGGCAGTCTGATGGACGCGGTGGTAATAGAGAACCAGCCCGTGCTGAAAAAACCCACTATGAAGACGCTGCAAGTGCTGATATATGGCTACTTTCAACAGGTCCGTGTGCGGTCAGACCACCCCTGGAGGGTTCGGAGGGTGGCTTTCATATCAGCCTGCAGCAAGCTGCGGGTGATGGGTGCGGTTCTTGTAAGCGCAGGCAAGCGCAAAGCGCCCATCGTGCCCAAGTGCAGCGGCACCCTGCATGCGGGCGAAGAGTCAGCGCCAGGCCCCCAAACACCCCAAAACACCAGCCCCCAATCAGCTCCAGGCCCCCAAAACATCGCAAAGACCTATCGTGACAACAAGGCGTCTGGCATCGCCACCGCTCGGGCGTACCTGCAGTCCCAAGTTCAAGACCAAGACAGGTGGGTGACTTTCATGGAATCACATGCCAAGAAGGACGACCTGTGCGACAGCATGCTCCTCGCCATAGTGCACGCCGAGCATGGTGCCTGAAAACATTCATGAAGCATCCGCAGTGTTTCTGTTTTGAACCTCTATACACAGCTCACACGCGGTCAGAGAGTTGATTTGCGGCTTGGGTGAACAGGACTGTCGAAGCGGGCATAAAGGGAGCGATCAAGATTGCAGGACCAATGACCCCCCGCCCTGCATGTGAAGACGAGGACAGCCGCGAAGATGACGGCGCCAACGAGTCACAAAGAGTGTGCCACATCCTAGACACGGACAAGGCCGCATTCTATGGGGATGTTTGGCGCCTGCTGCCGGTACGGCGTCACCCGCCGCTCCATGCCCAAGCTTGTGAGCACGATGTACAGGGCGGTGAAGGCCCTGCCCCTACCGTGCAGTGAGTGTGACAAGCCACGCCTATACCTGATACTCAGCAGCCCGGGAGGCACCCTGTACGACGCTTTTGGCGCGTATGACCACCTGTGCAATCTGGCACGGTGCTGTTCAAGCGGCTTGTGATGCAGAACTCGTCCGGTGGCGTCTCTGGCAAGTATGCAGACATGCAGGATGAGGTCAGCACGTGTCGTTGGCTGAGGCGCAAGCTGTGCCGCCTGTACACGCAGCACTCGACCGAGATGAAGAGGCTGTACTTCTAGCTCGCGCTCCCATCTGCGTTGAAAGCCACCCAAGAAAACTCTCGCGCTTCACTCAGAAGTCTCAGCCAGTTCCTCACACAGTCACAGCGTGTCGCACCTTACCCGCTGCAACACGACGCGCAGCATGCACAAGCTAGAGGCAGAGGACCTGTTGGGCATGCAGCTCCTGATGAACCCCAAAAAGAAGGCCAGCATAGACGCCATGTCGGTGGCGTCCAGCTATGTGTCCCGTAACAGCAGCCGCCGTGCTGCGGGCGCAAAGTGCAGCCCCAGCGCCAGGAACAAGGACAAAGCACCCTCGGCGGGCTCTTCATCACGCTCCTCCGCCTCGTCCTCGGAGTCTCTGTGCAGCGGGAGCGGTGGCGGCGGGGATGAGGGCGGCGAGACGTACTACGAGGAGGAGGTGGAGGAGGAGGAGGAGGATGGGTTGCAGTCTCAGGGATCCCTGCCGCTCTCCTCCGTGTCCGGCAGGGCCAGGCAGGCCAGGCAGGACCCGCCGCAGTCTGCCGCCAGACCAGCTGCCGCCGCAAAGGCGCGAGGCAGGCCCGCGCCCGCGCCCGCGCCCACGAGCCGGCAGCCCTCCTCGTCCAGCGTGTCCTCCACAACCAGCGGGTCGTCTGACGCGTCCATGACATCGTCCATGGTGTCGCAGCTGCGCCGCATGCAGAAGCAGCTCAGTCAGGAGGAGATCCTGGCCATGAAGCGCGAGCTGCTCTACCAGTTTGAGTGCATCGAGCACAAGGGCACCAAGCTGCCTAAGAAGTTAACCATGGCGTCAAGCCTGGACGACATGTGCACCGAGTACGAGCACCTGAAGTGCGACTGCGAGATGGACGTGTCCGTGCAGTTCCAATGCAGGATGCTGATGGCGGTCGTGTCGGGCGTCGAGTTCCTCAACGGCCGCTTCGACCCATTTGACATCAAGCTGGATGGCTGGTCAGAGAGCATCACCGACAACATCGGCGACTATGATGAGATCTTTGAGGAGCTGCACGAAAAGTACAAGGGCAAGGCCAGGGTTGCCCCCGAGCTGAAGCTGCTCATGGCGCTGGGCGGCAGCGCCATCATGTTCCACATCAGCAAGAAGATGTTTGGCTCTCTGCCCGGCGCCGAGGCGGTCATGCGGCAGAACCCGGAGCTAGCGTGGCAGTTTGCTGCGGCGGCGGTGGCCTCAGCGGACGACGGGGGCCAGGTTGGCGGGCATGCAGGCCATGCAGGCCACGGCGGTGGCATCATGGGGCTCGTGGGCTCGCTGTTTGGGGGCAGCAGCGGCGGCGGTGGCGGGGTGGGCGACTTCCTGGGATCCATGTTTGGCGCTCCATCTGCTGGCGGTCCAGTGCGGGCCGCAGCAGCCCCCTCACCGCCCCCTCTCCCCCACATGGTCCCACCTCCCCTGCAGCCGCAGGCCACACGCCCTGTGATGCGTGGGCCCAACATGGATGACATCCTCGGCGACATCAACCTGCAGGCCATTCTCGGTCAAGCAGGCGCGGGCGCCACGGTGAAGACACCTACACCCGCGAGCCCCCACACGGTTGACCGCGTGGAGATGATGAGCAACGTGTCGGAGTCTGAGCTGAGCGAGCTGCAGGACACGGTGTCCATGTGCGGCGTGTTTGTGCGCAAGGCTCCCAGTGTAGCTGCCAGCCGTCGGGGCACCCGGGGTGGCGGCTTGACTGTGACAAAGAAACAGAGCATCGACATATAAACACGTTGAACAAGAGCGGACCGCGTCACCATCAGTGATTTTTTTTTCATTTAGGGGGGGTCTCAATTTATTCCAACCTAAGTAACAAAGTTGCTAGCGTCGCCGTTATGTATTCCTTAAGAGTGGGGTGCTG